ATGTCTCTAAGCTTGGACCCCTCATAGGCAAAGAGGATGTCAATCCCTACCCTGCCCACCTCACAGACTACTGGGAAGGACATCGAAAGGACACACATGCATGAAGATGCTGTAGAAACCCCAAAGAGCTTCATAAGCGTGCTCTTACTGTTGGAGGGACCTTGCAGGTCAACGAGCTGACTCCCCCCACGGTTGGATCACAGCTTGTAGTAACAGCCTGAGCTTGGAGCCCAGACAAACCTGGGTTCTAGTCCTAGCTCCACCATGGTCCAAGTGTGCAATCTTGGGCAGGTGAATGTACTTTGTGTGTCCTCCTTTGTGATGTGTGGTGATGACAGTGGCAGCTATCCCTCGGGCTGTGAGAGGATTTCAGGGGGATAATTCTGGAAAGCACTCAGTACAGCACCCAGCAGGGGTGCAAAGACAGATCCAAGCTCTGCCATCTGGTGTCACAAAGAAGAGGCCCAAACCACCACCCATCTTCCCCTGGAGAAGGGAGCCCTGGAGGTCTGGAGTTGTTCTAGGACATCTAACTCAAGGGTTCACAAAACCCTGAAATGTGTCTGTATAAATGCATACTGTGGGGAGGGGTCCAGGGCTTTCTACAGAAAGAGGCTGTGACCCACGCAGGGTTAACCACCCTGATCTAATCCAAGACCCTCATTTAAAAAACTGGGATCCAAGGGCCATCCAAGAGCACTTCGAGGGTGAGGGGACAGCAAAGCACACAGGCCTTCAGTGCACTGGGAGACCCCCTGCCCAGGAGCAGGAGCCTGCCTTGGAACACCCGGCCTGAGATAGGATTACCACCACCTGGGAGCAGCGTGCTCCTAGCAGAAAGCAGAGGCTGCAAGAGTTGAAGGGAGCAGAAACAGCAGGGGCCACCATTTGGATCAAGAATTAGGACTGTGGGGGAATTTCAACTTTGTTTTTCAATTTGTCTCTCAAGGTTGTTACAAGAGAGCTTTACGATAAATGAAAGTTGAGTGAGAAAGAGGTAGTGACTATTGGCCAAACATCTCGACTCACTCCCCAGGGGATCTGCAGTTCTCTAGCGCATGAGCTTACGCTCCAAGAATCACCCAAACGAGACTCCAAAACAAAGGAAAACAGAGCCATCAAACACAAGTGTGACGTGGAGTCAGCCGAAGGGCCTGGAGCAGATCGTCCAGGAAGGGAATTGCTGAGCCTGGGGGAGATTTCGCTCCTGTTTTGGGGGCCCGCTGGCAGAGAGGTGCAGGTGCTCCAGGGCCCCCGAACTCCAGGCCCAGGTGGAGACAACAGGGTGAAGATAAGCTACGAGGACACAGGTGTCGGCCCAGTGTAAGCGAGAATCACCTTGTTTGTTTTCCGAGTTCCTCTTAAGATAGAGTTGCGTGGTCTTGGTCTTTAGTTTAAAAACAATAACAGCTCACTGTAAACAACGTGAAAAGTACAGAAAAACACACAGGAGAAAAATAATGCGCCCCTCATACTCCACCCAGAAGAGCCATCTCTAATATTTTGATGGATCTCCTTCTATTTTAATCCTATTTTAACTGTAAACAGTAACAACCACAAAATAAATAAATAAAATTCATCTGTAAGGTTTTAAAAGTAATAATAATAGTGGTGATGTCTGCACGACACTGTGAATGTACCAGGTAACTGACTCGTTCGTTTTAACATGGGGAACGCTGTGTGATGCGAACTCCCCCTCGATTAGCTGCCCAGGCTGAGAACGTGGCCGGGACCTCAGCGGCCCCTGAGGTCATTGTCTCTTTACTTTTCCTCACAGTTTTACCTCCTCTGTCTGCGCCCTTAACCCAATTATCTTTCAGCTCTGCCCACTTTCACACTTCGTATAGGTTAAGTTAGCCCATGTGTTTTCTTTCTCTCGACATGCGTCTCTGACACCTGTCCATGCTCACGAGGAGGAAGGCACCTCGCTGTGTGCGGGGCTGGCAGACAGTTGGCACGTCTGCCCCAGAGCAGGGCCCACCGACATCGTCTGGAGCCCCGACTGAAGGTTTGAGGGTTTCTCCAGGGCCCTGTCACTGTGCAACGCATCGTTTCCATGTGTTTTATCTTGAAAAACAGAAAAGCTTAATTTTTTCCTGATTATACAAAGAAATACAAAGATTCTTTAAAAATAAAACAGAAAAAAAGTATACAGAATAAAAGTTTCCAGCACAGCCTGAGATCTGTGCTGATTGTGTCTGGTGTGGGTCCTTCCAGACTTGTCCTTGCCTTTGACATAGACAACAGACAAATGATAGATGAGAGATAGATAGATGATAGGTAGGTAGGTAGATGGATAAATGGTAGATAGGCAGATAGATGATTAGATGGATAAATAGACAGATAGATAGATAGATGATAGGTAGGCAGAGAATTTTTCCTTTTGTCACTGAACAACACACCCACACAGGTGTAGGTATCCTGGGAATGCATCACACTCGTGCATCACACTGGTGAACATGGGGCTCTAATGACACTCACACAGCCCCTCTCAGTCCCACCACAGGACACAGCCACCGCCCTGGCCTCCATACCTGTGCATGGGTCCCACCACTGACGTTTGGAAGGGATCAAAGGTTGTGCCTGACTAAGGCTCTGGAAGCACGTTACAGACCAACTTCCAGAAAGGCAGCATGAACCATCCCCCCACCCCTCAGAGCCGGGAGGACCCCCTGGATCCTAAGGAAGAGACGGCACGGGCATGGACAGAGAGGGGCCCATGGACACTGCCCTCCCACCTGTCCCACCCCAACCCTAACTCTGCTCTCAGGCAGGGGGCAGAGAGGGGCCCTGAGGCCTCTTCCCAGCTCCCTGGAGCACCCACCACAAAGTGGCCTGAGGCAGGCAGGAAGCCCCCTCCTCAGGGAGGCCTTGGACTCCCATACACACAGTTTCCCTGTGTCCCTTCCTGGCAACACCAAGCCCCCGGTGGGAGGAGAAGGCTCAGGGCTGCGAACTCAGCCTCTTGCTGCTCTGGGGGCGCTGGTAGGGTGTAAGAGCTGGGAGTTGGGGGCTGGGGATGCAGTCCTAGGTCAGTGGGCTGTGGGCTCAGGTCTGTGAGGTCTGCACACGTACGGCTGTGGGAGGACATGAAAGGCCATGTTGGTGGTCCCCACAGTCAGAGCCCAAGGAGGGGATTTGGTCCCTTCTGTCCCAGATAACACCTGGTCCCTCAGTTTCTGAGGTCAGAGACTCAAGTCTGGCCTTCCTGGCGCATCTGCCCTTGATGGGGGCGGGGGCACTGGAGGGGAGACCTCCAGCCCCAGCACCTCCAAAGCAGGGCTTGGTGCCCCCATACTCTGGGCCTGGGCTGTCAGGCCCATCAAGGGTCCTAAATGCCCAGCCCAGCTATCCCAGGAGGCAGAGGAGTATTGGGGAGGTCACTGGGGAACCTGGAAGGGGCAATGCAGAGGGGGTCCCACCCACTCAGCTTACACAGGAGAATGTGAGGCCCAAAGGGGGCAAAGGACTCGCCCCACGTCATACCGTGAGCCCCTCGGTAGTATTCAAGGCCCAGCGCTCTCCTCCACACATGGTGTTCACATACCCCTGGCCCAAGGGAGCCCCTCTCAGTCTGGCTTCAGCCCTGTGACCTGCACCCCAAGACTCAGCATCAACCACTCCAAGCTGAGGGCCCCTCAGGGTCTTCAGTCAAAGCCAGAGAGCCAGCACTGGCCTCATGCTACTCTCTGGTCAATAGGCGCCCCATCCAGCAACCTCATACAGGCCCAGTACCTTCCTGCCTTCCTCTGGGCCTTCAGAGCTGAAGCACATTCAAGACTGAACGTCACAGTCCAGTCTCTCAGTTTCCCACCCCACACCCCCAGCCAAGATCCAGGCTCAGGAACAGGGCCCACTGGGAGCAGGGAGCCCCTGTGTGACCTCTCTGTAAGTGGGTCTCCGTCCCACGTAGAGCAGACCACACAGGAGGGGGCCACCAGAATGTTATCTAGTGCTTATCTCTCATGAACATGAAGGATACACAGTGTCCAGAGGAGAAACTGTCCCCTCCCGCCACCCCTCCTTCCAAGCCTCAGGGAGCAGAGTGATCCCACTACCCCACACCTCACACTCACCCCTAGACCCAGGTCCCTTCTGACAGGCCAGGCCCCACCCCCTAGCTCTCCCACAGCCCAAGGGGCCTCAGGGCCACACCTGGGGACTGGAGCTCAGGCCTGTCAGGAGCTGACCCAGGAGGAGGATGGCAAAGTGGCCGGGAGCCCAGACAGACAGTCACTGCACACCACACAGGAGTGTCACCTGCACAAGGACATCACTGCCTTCCCCTGACTGTCCTCCATGGGTTACACAGAGGTGTCCCAGCTGCATGCCTAGTCACCATATCCCAAGTGTCTCTGTACAGCGTCCCCTCACACATGCACACACACACACACACTCATGCTCACACGTGTTCACACATTCACACTCACACGGGTACACACACTTAAGCTCCAGCCAAGTGTGCTCTCTAGTGGCCTCTGTTGTCTCATCTCTAAAAGGTGACAGTCACACCAGTAATAACCGCTGACTCTGGGGGGCCAGTGCTCGCACCCCCTCCCACATGGCCTGGGCGCCCAGATTCCACCTCATTCCAGCTCCCAGGGCCCTGCCGGAGCCCAGAGTCCAGGCCTGGCCCAGGGAAGGGGCAGGGGCAGAGGAGCTGGAGAGACCTGTATCCCCACCTCCCTCACATGCAGCATGCACAGCCCCCCAAGAGGAAGAAGGCACCTTGGGTAGAGGAATTTCCAGACCATAGAGTCCCGGAGACAGGTCTTCTCCAGGCCAGATGGAAGGCTGTCAGGAAGGGAGGGGCCTGGGCTTTCCAGAAACACAAAAATGCCAAGAACACTGACATAGACTCAATATGCCGCCACACAGAAGCAACAAATGCTAACCTGCAGTCAACTAGCTCGGATGACTTTATGAAGAGAAGAAAAACAACCCGCCGTGCGGGACGACCCTTGTCCCCCCACCCCAGTCCCATGCGCTCCCTCCTTCCCCATAAGAAACCGAGCACCAGTCATTCCACACACAACCACTGATCAGCTCTGAAACCTAGAGCTGCTTTAGGCCCTGGGGACTCGGCAGGGGCCTCAGAGACCAGGTCCTGGAGCAAGTTCCAGTGGGTGACACAGGCCAAGACAAACACCACGTTATGCTATGGCATGTGGTATAATGAGTTCTTTAGGGAAAGTAAGGGGTCAAGAGGAGAAAGAGTGACAACTCTTGGTTTAGACTAATGCTCAAGAGAGGCCACCCCTGAATGAAGCCAGGGGACCAGCCAGGGAGGTGCCTTGGCAGGAGTGTTCCCAGCAGGAGGAACGGCAATGCAAAGGCCCTGGGCTGGGATGTGCCTGACGAATGGCAGGAACAGCAAGGAGGCTGGTGTGGCCAGATCCAAGGAAGTGGGGTTGGGACAGGAGAGGGGCCAGCTGGACCCTGGGGGCCTTGCACATCATGCTGAGCACCTTCATCTTGTTCCAAGTTTTCAAATGTACCTGAAGGACATCATGTCCACACACCCAACTCCTTCTCACCTCCTACATATGTATCTCTGCAACTAGGATCCAACTAGTCAGACAGAAAGAGCTAGATGGCTCAGCATGTGAAGAGACAGCACGGTACCAGCCCAGCCAGGTGGATGGACATTTGAGCAGTTCTGGTTCTTCTTTCACAAACATGACCCCTGTGTGTGCCCCGTGTACACACCAGCTCTTCTGGAGGGCACACACCCTGACCTGGGACCTCAGGGACAGAGGGGATCTATGTTCTGGTTACTGTGAGCTGCAGCCAGCTCTGCAGAGCAGTTAGACTAATTCACTGCCCAGCGACAAGCCACGGTCCCATCCCCCACGTCTGCACCCTTCTGGGGATGGTAGACGCTCAGAAGCTGTGGTCCCCAGCTGTGGTCCCCAGCGGTGCGCATCTCCTCGGTGCAGCATTGAGAACTCAGGTAAATCACACGGGCGTCACTCGGCGGTCACTAAACCGTGCCACCCCGGTCCCCACTCTGCCCTTGCCTCGTGTGACCCTGGGGTCTGAGCCTCAGTGTCCCCGTGACGTCACTCGGAGGTCCCTGAGCCCATTCCGCTGTCCTCTCCCAACTCCTCCGGATCTGCGCGCCTCAGAACCCCTCTCTGCCCTTCTAGGGAGAAGACAGAGACCCCTGGCGGCTGCGGAGGGTGAGGCGGGTCCCGGAGTTGGGGCAGGATTGCTGGGGGCGGCTGGGGGCGGCTGGGGGTGGGGGAGACGGGATGGGGATGGGCGACCCTCAGCGAGCATGGTGATCCCAGAGCCCCTCCCCTGAGACCCAAACTCTAGGCAGAAGCTGAGCCTGAGGTGTGCCCATAGCGAAGACCCCTCCAGGTCGCCCCCACACTTGTGGACAAGGCAACCCGGCTCCTGGGTCCTGGAGGAGGGAGAGGGAGAATTCTGAGTGGGCGTCAGAGGGAACCAGGTGCTTCTGGGCAGGACCTTGAAGCTGCCCAGATGACCAGGAGAAGAGCACTCTTCTCCCTCAAGAGAAGCTGAGCTTCTCTTAATTAGAATCAGCTCCTTGACTTCTGCCCCCTAAAGAAGGTATAGGAATTTTGCACCTTGATTCAGTTCTTAGGGAATTTACCAATCAATGCGGGAAGAAGTGACATCTTTACCCATTGAATCTTTCAGTCCATGAATATCCTCTCTCTCCCATGAATAGGTTTTAATAATTTTCAATGAAGTTGTGCAGTTTTCCCCATAAATGATTTAGATAGCTCTTTAGATTAATCCTTAGTTAACTGATATTATTCACGCAATTGTAAATTGCATCCTTCTTAAATGTTATTTTCTATTCATCTGCTGATATGTAGGGATATAGTAAGTTTCTATATTTGAAATTGGATCTGGTAAATTTGTACACTTTTTCATAGACTCTATTAATTTATCTGTGCATCCTGTGGGATTTGCTACATAAACATATCATCCATGAATAATGACAATTTTGTTGCTATCTTCTCAGTCCTCACACATTTCATTTCTTTCTTTCTGCCCTTTCTCCCTCTGCTGGTGCTCTAGGACCAGCCGCAGCAGCAGGGACGATGATGGGCATCCTTGTCTTGTCACAAAGGGACGTTTTTAAACATTTCACTAGGAAATAGGACGCCTGCTATAGTTTTCTTTAAAGATTCCTTCACCAGATTAAGGAAGTTCTCTTATATTCCTGTATTGTATATGGGATTTTACTCACTGCTTTTTACACATCTTTTGGGTTGATTTCTCCTCTTTTCTTTAAAAAAAAGATTGGCACCTGAGCTAACAACTGTTGCCAATCTTTTTTTTTCTGCTTTTTCTCCCCAAATCCCCCCAGTACATAGCTGTATATTTTAGTTGTGGGTCCTTCTAGTTGTGGTATGTGGGATGCTGCCTCAGCATGGCCTGACAAGCCGTGCCATGTCTGCATCCAGGATCTGAACCAGTGAAACCCTGGGCTGCCAAATCGGAGCATGCGAACTTAACCACTCGGCCTCAGGGCTGGCTCCTGATTTCTCTCTTAATGTTCCAAGTTGTGTGGATTTTTCTGATGTCGAACCACTCCCGCATTCCTGGAATGCATGGGCCGCACTTGTCCATCATGTGTCCTCCTGCGCCATGGCTGCATTCGGAGTGCTGGAGTTTTGTTGGCCATTTGCATCTGCATTCCCGAGGGGGTCAGAGCTGTGATCCCTGTCTCACAGCCCTGCTCAGATTTCACAACGAGGTGGGTCAGCTTCATAAAATGAGAGATCATTTAGTCTCTAGAGTTGTTTTCTTCTCTGGAGGAGCTTGTGTAAGGAGTTGCTTACCAGTGAAGCTCTCTAGCCAGTTTTCTCTGTGGGAAGATTTTTGACTACTGAGTCAATGCCTTCAGAAGACTTGAGGTTTCCTACTTCTTCTTGAGTCAAATATGTGTTTGATGAAGGTTTTTCAGGAATGTTCTCATTTCATCTCAAATTCTTGGCATAATGCTATCATAATAGACTCTCATTACCCATTGTAGGTATCCCACGGCTGTAAAAATGTCCCCTTTCCATTCCTGATATGGGTAATTTTTGCCTAATTTCTTTTCTTCTCGATAAATTCACCAAATCATTTTCAACTTCAGTCATATCATAAAGCAACAGACTCTGCTTTCCTTATCATCCCCACTGGATATGTATCTATTTCTTCAGTGTTAGCTTTTCCTTATTTCCTTCATTCTGTTTTACATTGAGATTATTTCTTTGTGTTCTAGCTTTCTGTGATATATGCTAACTCATTAATTTTCAGCCTTTTTATTTCCTACATATCTCTCTATATCTTTTAAGCTGTCAGTTTCCCTCTATGTACCACGTTACCTGTGTCCCACAAGGTTTTTATGTAGTGATTTCATTATTGTTCAGTTCAAACTGTTATCTAATTTCTAATTTGAGTACTTTCCTAAACAGCTGGGAGCATGTTTCTTTATTTCCAAACATATGAGGATGTCTAGTATCTTTTGTTATTGATTTCTAGTCTGTCATTGACTTCTAGAATTTTCTAATAGAACATATGCTGAATGATTGCAGCCATCTGAATTTGCTAAGGCTTGTTTCATGCCCCAGGAGATGGTTAATTTTTGTCAATGTTCTTTTTCTGCTTGGAGGGCAGAGACACACTGTAACTCTGGTTGCACATTCTATGTATAAGTCCATTAGGGTCAGTCAGTTAAGTCTTCCAAGCTGCTGTTTCCTTCCTCGATTATTTCAGCAATGCTTATAGTCCATAAAGCTGTTGAATCTGGTATCAATGTAAGTACATCAGCTTTCTTTGGGGTAGGAGTTTCGTAGTATCTCTCTCTACCCATTTACTTTAAGTCAACTGGATGACTTATCTCCTCAGTATCCTGGACATAGGAGCTCTCCTCAAATGACTTTCTTCATACCACATCATCTGTGAAATGTGTACCGGACACTTACACTGAGCAAGAGTTGGGTCTGTGCTCCTTACTTTCCCAACAGTTTGGTGCCTTTTTATGCTGGAATTCCTGGCCTTTTCTCTCCCATCACTGAGGCTGGGGCAGAATTACTGGCACCTCTCGCTGCTTCCAGAGCATGTGCACAGATCTCTGCTTAGATGGTGTTGGTCAGTGATCCTGTGAGGCGCACGAAGAAATGGCCTCAAACAGAGGAGGAATTATTGGCTCACGTAATTGGGAAGCCAGACGTGGGGCATTCAGGGCTGCCTGAACCACGAGGCCCTGGACCTGTCTCTCTAGTATTCCCACTGCCCTGCCCTCGACCCCACATTGGCTGGCTTCCCTCAGGGAGACAAAATGGCTCTGGCAGAGCAGGGCTTCACCCCTGCACACAACACATCCAAAAAAGGAGGAGATCTTGAGCCTGGTTTCCAGAGGGGTCTGCCCGATATGCTGGTACCACCTGAAAGTGGCCAGCTGCAGCCTCACTCCACAAGGGTGACCCTGAAGGACAGCTCTCTCAGGGACGGAACTGAGAGGTACAATTTGGTCTGCATTGAGAGATGGCAAGAAAAGGGACCTACAGTGACTCATAGGAGGCCCCAGTGGTTTAGCTGAACAGCCAGTGTTATGGGTGGAGTGTTTGTGTCCCCTCAAAATTCATGTGTTGAGGCCCCAGCCATCAATATGATGGTATTTGGAGATATGGCTTTGGGGAGGTAATTAGGTTTAGATGAGGTCATGAGGGGACCCTCATGATGGGATCAGATAAGGAGAGGAAAAGATCTCTCGATATCGTTCTTGCTCTCTGTCTCTCTCCTTGGCTGCACCAAGGCAAGGCCATGTGCACACACAGTGAGAAGGAGCCCATCTGCAAGCCCAGAAGCAGGCCCTCACCAGGAACTGAACCTGCCGGCATCTTGATCTCGGGCTTCCCAGCCTCTAGAACTGTGAGAAACAAACGTCTGCTGTTTAAGCCACCCAGTCTGTGGTATTTGTTACAGAAGCCCAAGGCAGGTAGGGACTCGGAAGGATCAAGGATCAATATTCGAAAATTAATGACAGGGAAGGGTGGGAAGAGGTATGGGGATAGGCCTCTCAGGATGGACGCTGTGTGAAGATATTCGCATCCCACGTCACCAAGTGGCATATGAACACTCTCAGCAGGGGAGGCCTCAAGAATCAAGTGGACAAATGTCATTCCACCTTGTTCCCAGCCATCCCAGGCCCATGAACAAAGGGGCCCTGCTGGCCAGCACCGAGGCTGAGCATTAGATCATCAACATGGTCTCCCACTTGTCAAGGCTGACCTGGCTACTGCTGCCACCTAGTGGTGCATCTGCCAAGAGCGGAGACCAAACCAGCATGGAGGCCCGGTGTAGCACCATTCCCAGGGGTACCAGCCAGCCACCTAGTGGCAGGTTGCTGTTATCGCACCTCTTCCATCATGGAAGAGGTGCAAATTCTGGACATGGATTTGCCCTCCCTGCCTGTAATGCTTCTTCCAGCACCACCCTCCCTGGACTCTTGGGATGCCTCGACCACCGCCATGGCATGCCCCACAGCACTGCATCTAATCAAGGAACTTATCCCACAGCAAAGGAAGTGCAGCATGGAATTAACTGTTCTGAACACAAATCCTATCACCCAGAAGCAGCTGGCCTAATTAAAAGTGCAGTGGCCTACTGAAGACTCAGTTATGACACAAGTGAGAGACCACACCCTGAAATATGGGCTTCTATCATATAGGATGCAATTTATAATTTGAATCAAAGACCATCATAAGGTACAGTCTCCCCAGAGCCAGAATACATGAGTCTGGGAATCAAGGGATAGGAGTAAGAGTGGCTTCTCTCACAATTAATCCTAATAATTCGCTTGAAGAACGTTTGTTTCTGTCCTAGCGACTCTGAGCTCTGCTGCTTTGGAGATCTTAGTTCCCAAGAAGGTAACGCTTCCACTAGGGGGCGCCACAATGGTTCCACTGAGTTGAAACCAATGAGCAGAAAAAGGGCCACTCTCCTGGTTGAACTGATGGATCTGGATTACGAAGGAGAAATTGGGCAGCTGGGACACAGTGGAGGCAGGAGGACTTTGTCTAGAACCCAGAGCACTCAGTATCTTAGTACCTCTTAGTCCTCAGAGCATTCAAGAATGGAGGTTTAGATCCCCACACACACACCAGGTAAAGATCCATGACCAGCTGAGGTTCCAGCTGAGGACAAGAGA